ATCCACTTTTTCTCACCGTATCTCCAGCCGGGCACCTCCCATAAATAAATATTAGGATGACGGAGGACGGCTGTCACTCTTCTGCCTCCCCTTCTGTCCCCGAAAGAGCCCACTACTAAATGAAGCACCTTTGTTAGGAGAGAGATTTCCTGATGGGAGACACCCAGAGCTCGCGGGGGGGGGAGGTGGGGAGTGCAAGACACACACAAGTTTGGTCGACACATCAAGACGATCAAACCCCTGTGGATCATGGCAGAATAATACCTCCCCGAAGCCAGTCACCGACAGAAATCCACATTTTCCACTCCCTATTCTGGGTCATACAGGGAGACGGAGGGCGAATGGAGGGTGACTGGATTCCACGGGCTTTGAGAGGGGGTTTGAGAGGGGACGAGAAGGAGAAACCACACAGTCAAAAAGGGAGAGGGGGAATCATCCTGACCAGGTGGGACAACATCAGGATCTGTGTTTTTAAAAATGCCCCGTAGACGCAGACACTCTTTGCTTGTCACCCAAGTCTGAGCTATACTGGAGGAAATGTCTGCTCCACACAGCCCTTGCCAAGTGCCTCCGCCATGGCATGCCACTGCAGGAGCAGAGGCACGCAGAGAGGTGGCAACCCTTCCTCAAGGTGGGCATCCTAGCCTTTATGCTTGGTACCCAGACAGAGAGGCTTGCCGTACAGGAGTAAGTGGGTTTGAGTACTGAGATCGGGGGGGGGGAGAAATAAATGACATTTTTACTCTATTTATGCAGGCCCGCGTACTCAGCAGAATCTATTGCTCCAGTTCCCAAAGCAAAGTTCTGAAGAGGTATTATTGTCACCTTAGAATCCCAGAATCTCCCAGGAATTAAGAGCAAAAAAAGCCATTTTTTCTGGAGTTTGGTATAAACAGATGCAAGAAAAAGAGAGAGAGAGAGAGAGAGAGAGACGACCCACCCAAAAAAAGCCATTGTTTCTGGAGTGTGGGATAAACAGATGCAAGAAAAAAAAGAGAGAGAGAGAGAGAGAGAGAGAGAGAGATGACCCACCCTCCCTTAGCTAATGTGGAGAGGAAAGAGGGCTTCACCAAAGGAGCTTCTCCACTTTGGAAGAAGTTTAGATTCTGCCACCCCCCAAGGCAGAAACCACCACCACTACCCCTCGGTCTGTTTTCAGGATCCAGCCCTCTGAGCATCACGGGGTCCCTCCTTCAACCCCCACGTTCAGAAAATCGACAGGAAACCAGGGTGACACGCCAGCCTCTCGGAGTTCTCTGAAAACAGGAAACGAAGACGGCTGCTCATCTTTCTCGAACCCGAGACAAGGTCGAGAGTCAACATTCTGTTCGCCGGCTTGGAAACCTCAGAAGATCAGGCGCAGAGAGAAAAGAAAACCCACCAACACCAACCTCCCCAAAAAGGAGGCTGGTGTCTCCCGGGGGGTCCCATCAAGGGCCTGGGGGCCCTTCCACCGTTCCGCAGCTTCTGAAAAGACGGACGGACGGGGCCCACAAGCAGCCCTTCGTCTCTCTCTCTGACACCACCCCAACCAAAGGCAAGTGGGCAAAACCTAGAACAAGGTGTAGGATAAGACGCTGGGTGATGTAGCCTTTGGCAGACAGCAAAATAAATGTTTAAAAGTAGATGGTACAGGAGGAAGTGGGAGGGAAGCAGCCGGAGGGAAGAAGGATGCAGGAGACCATCCTCAGAAGGGATAGCCGGGGCCGGCCCGAACGGGAGGGCGAGGGGGTCCAAGCCCGACAGGCGGTAGATAAAGGGAGGGGGACAGCAGGTGCAACCAACCCCCCCAAAGTCTCACCTCCCTTTTTTCCCTCTGTAAAGAGAGATCTGTGGGAGCCATTGGACCCCTTCCTTTGGAACGCCCCCCCCAAAAAAAAACTCCCTGGCTGCTCTTGGAGAGGGTGGCTGGAAGGTCCCCCCCCAATCCGGTGCCGGATTTAGAATCCGTGGCCTCGGTTCGGTGGGTTTCTGCCTCTTGCAAAAAGCCTTTCCCAGCCTCGACACCTCGCTCCGCCCGCCACAAACCATCTCCATCGTTATCTCCAAACATTGTGACGCCCCGCTATTTATCAGCAGAACTGGAGAGGGGGTGGGCAACCGATCCAATGCAAACTCTCGCCCGCCTCAAGAGCATGGGAAAGCAGGGAGCTTAAACAAGGATATAGAGTCATATATTGAATAAACAAGTCCAAATCGATATCTCTGTCTTCCTCTGGTTTTGAGGCTGGATTTGCTAACTTGTCTAAGAAAAATGGTTGTTGTTGATTTCTCCTTCCAAGCCGGCACAATGCTTCCCGTGGCCGAGGACACGCCGCTGATCGGCTACCGGACCCACAGCCTCTCCTCCGGCGGAGCGGGTCTCCTCCATGTCCTCCTCTACCACCAACCAAACTCTTCCCAGGGCCCGCCGGAGACGGCCGGCAGCCTCAGCTTCTCCTCCGGGGAATACACGGCCGAGGAGCTCTGCGTGGCCGCAGCCACGGCATGTGGTGAGTTACGGGCCCTGCTCCCTGCTCCGAGCAACACCTGGGGGCATCCCATGCCCAAACCAAGAAAGATTCCCAAGCCACCAGGAGATAAATTTGAGGGTGGAGAAGGTCAAGGGAGAAGGTGAAACGGGCCTGGTGGAAAGAAGGTGGACCAGGCAGAAGCCCACGTCACTTCAGTCCACGTGGCCATTTGTCAGTAACTCCTTACCCGTTCCTTCTTACCTCCAAACTCTGATCAAGAGCACCCGCCAGCTTAAGATACCCGCCGGCTCGTTCTTTCTTGCAGGAATCCTTCCCGTCTGCCACTCGCTTTTCTCTCTGGCCACGGAGGACCTCACCCGATGGTTTGCCCCCAGCCACATCTTCACCGTGGATGAATCCTTCAGCCAAGTGGTTGTCTACAGAATCAGGTGCCTCGCAAACAATTCCCAGTCCCTTTTTGTATTTGGCCCCCCAGCGGGCTCTCCGTTTGCAGAAAATGGCACCTGCTGATTGAAAGAGAGAGAGAGATGCAAAATTAGGGGGTTTTTTTGGAGACATAAATGGAATAAGCGGCCAAGGGGAGAAGGCAATTACTGGGGAGGGATTTTTTTGGAGACGTAAATGGAATAATCGGCCAAGGGGAGAAGGCAATTACTGGGGAACCAGTAATTGAGCCCCCGTCTGTGTTCTGAAACAATGATCCCTCTGTTCTGATGGCTCAGCAATCCTCTTTTTAAATTTCCTCCCCTTTTTGATCATCTTTTTTTTTATTTGGGGGGGGGAGCAGGTTCTTCTTTCCAAATTGGTTCGGCCCCAAGAAATCCTACCGGATGGGCCTCAACCACCAGCTCCAGCCCATCCTGGATCTGGCTGCTCTTGACTACCTGTTTGCTCAGGTGAGGAACGGCACCCCCTTTGAACCCCCCCCAGAGGTCTTTGCTGGGGGAGGTGTTGGAGAGGGGGGGGAGGATCTGTCCTCGGTCACTCCCAGAGGGCAGGACGCATTGCGAGGGGCTCAAGCGACAGGAAGCCAGATTTCGGCAGAATCTCCAGGGGAAAAAAACCTTCCTAATGGGACCCATGACCACGGGAGGGGGTGAGGAGCCCCCCCCCATTGGTGGGTTTAGGGTTCCTGCCTCGAGCAGAGAGGGTTGGACTGGATGGCCTTTACAGGTCCCCCTCCAACGTCGTGATTCTCTGAAATGGCCATTCCTTCTCAGTCCCGCAGCGACTTCCTCAGCCAGCGGGTGGAACTGCCCTGGACTCTGGAGGCTCAGGAGACCTGTCTCAGCCTGGCTGTCTTGGACCTGCTGCGGATGGCCAAAGAGAGGAATCGGCCCCTGAGAGAGGTCTTCCGGAGCATCAGGTGAGAGCCCGGACAGGTGGGGCGCCTGGCTCTCTCTCTCTCTTTCTCTCTCTGCTTGGACACCCCACACGACTCCTCTGTTGTCTTCCGAGGGCCCTCAAGACTCTCCTCTTCCAAGCCAGTCCAGCCTTGAGCTGTGGTCCTTCCCATAACCACCGTCGTGCAAAGATTCTAGTCCTCATGGATGCGGGCAAACCAGCAAGAACCCTTCTAGGGTGGGAGACATGGGTCCAGTTGGGCTTTCCCCTCTGAAAACAGGCTCATCCCCCTAAAGAGAAGATAGTGGGGGTGGGGGGTGGGAGAATACCCTTGTGCTTCTCGGCGAGAGGTGTCCAGCCAGATTATTTCCACGAAGCCTCTGTTTCCCCCATCCCTCCTCAACCCTTCCTTTCTCCTCTCCCAGTTACAAGTCCTGCCTGCCGGAGAGTCTGCGCTCCCAGCTGCAGGCGGAAAACTTCCTCACGCGAAAACGGATCCGGCGCCAGGTTGGCCGCTCTCTGTGCCAAGTCAGCCGCTTCTTGACCGACCTCCACTTCCTCAAGCTGAAGTACCTGGCGGAGCTGGAAGGCCTGGCGGGCTCGACGGCCGAGGAGACCTTCCTCGCCCGAATCCCTGGGCAGGCAGCCCCTGATGCCGCGCGGGTGATCCACGTCTCAGCAGAAAAGGGGATCTTGTCCAGCCAGGGCAGCATTTCCCAGGTGGGACCGGCCCCGGATTAGAGAATATGTTCTCCCTGCCTTTTAAGTGACTTTTATGGACTCCAACCTCTAAGGCGTGCCTGCTGGGAGTTGCAGTCCAAAAGCTGGGGATGCTGGGTTAGGGGTGCTGTATTCCAGAGGAGTAACTTTTTTCTGGAAAGGTGGGCAACAAGGAGAAGTAGAAATTTGTCCTCATGTCCATGGGAGGGCTCCCAGGACCCCATGTTGCCAAATTTTTTGCGAACGAGGCTCCTCCTCCAAAGGCGACACCAGGAACATCCGTTCTTCTTTTCGTTCTCTCCCCCCCACTCCGATTCCTCTTCCTTCCCCTACCGCCTTCAGGGTCCTAGTCTGTTCTGCGATTTCCCGGAGATTGCCGACATCACCGTCAAGCAAGCCAGCCGGGAGGGTCTGCCCGTGGAGAGCCGTGTTGTCGGCATGACCAAGACGGACGGACGGTCTCTGGTAGGTGGGAAAAAGTTGCCGATTGGGACTCCATTGGCTCGCCCGGACCCTTCTTCAGATTTCTCTCTCTACCCGCTCCCCTGCTTCGTGGGAAAGAGAGGGCTCTGGTTGGATCAACCCACCAGGAAGGTTTTCCTCCCGTTGTGATGTGTGTCTTCCTGCCTGCCTGCCAGCCAGGGGATTATGGGAGTTGTAGTCCATATGGATAGAATGTCATTTTCTCTTTGCAGGAATTGGAGTTCCCGGGCCTGGCTGAGGCCCTTTCCTTTGTTTCCCTCGTGGACGGCTATTATCGCCTGACGGTCGACTCCTGCCACTATTTCTGCAAGGAAGTGGCACCACCAAGGCTGCTGGAGGATCTGGAGAATCAGTGCCATGGCCCCATTGCGTGAGTCAAGAAATAAAAACGCCCGGGCGTGGAAGGAAGCCACCCTTTTCCCCCTCCGGTCGGTGGGTGCCACCGAAGGGTCCCACCGAAGGCTGCTAAGGCGTTTCCGTGTTGGGAAGGTGGTGTGCCCGCCCCCTTTTCACAAGTCCTTGTGGCAGCACGAGGGGTGAGCCGGCCTTCTGCGCCACGCCCCGTGGACCTGGCCTGCTGTTGGGTGTGCCCTATCCAGCCACGGCAAGCGAAGTGGGTCCCCGTGGGCAGAACTCACGCCCAGGTTAGGGGGCTCGGACCCATGTTTGCTTTATGGGGTGGTCGGTCTCCATGCTTGCTTTTCCTTTAAAAATAAAAATAGCACAATCGCCCACGACCCGTTTGCAGGTCCGAGTTTGCAGCAAGCAAGCTGGACGCGGCCGGGCAAAACCAGGGAGCGTTCCTTCTCCGGCGGAGCCCAGAAGATTTTGCCAGCTACCTGCTCACCCTCTGCCTGGAGGTGAAGATGACCAACTCACTGGGGAGGGGGGGACCAAATCTGTAGGAGAGACACCCGTCCCCCCCATCTTTCAGAGGTTTATCCACATCTGGGGACACACACACACACACACCAATGGCTCCGCACGGCGAGAAATTCGCCACCACCCGCATTTAAAACCCAGCTCCGGCCTTCGGTGGCCAGGAAACCTTCCGATTCGCGTCCTTTTGGAACCGAGGGGGTCTTTTTAAAAAGAATTTTATTCTTCTTTCCCTGATTCCTCCTCGGCACACCACAGACCCCTGGCTGGAAGGAGGTCAAAAGCCTGCTGATCCAGAAGAACCGGGACGGTGCCTTCTCGACTCCCGGGGTTGCCAAAACCTTCTGCAGCCTGGCAGAGCTCTTAGGGGTCTGCCAGCAGTTCACCCTCGAGGCCGACGGGACGGCTGTCCACTTGGGCACTTTTCTACCCCCACTGCCCAAAGGTACGTGGGAAGCAACCGAGGAGCCTGGCAAAATCAGGGGGCTCCCTCCGGCCTGTGAACAATTCCCCAAAATTCAAAATTCAAAACCCTGCCCGCTGTTGGTGGAACCGAGAGACAAAAACATTTCAGACGTTTTCTCCCTGCTGGGATTACGAGACCGTTTTGCACATTTTCCCCCTCCTCCTCCCCCCTTGCGATTTGCACACAAGCAAATGTTTTTTGGTGCAAGGGAGAAATCTGGGATTCAAAATAAGTACCGGGGGAATTGGTTTCGACCTGGATTCAGGGTCATGTTGCTCTCCAGCCATATGGTCTTGTTGAGGCTGATGATGAAAACTCGGGCTATTGCTGTACTCATCCCGGAGCACCAAAAAGATAATTGTAAAGGAATAAATAAAAATTCTTGAGATGCCCAAACACACTTTTGCCATGTAAAAAAATGTACAAATATTCACTGCATCTTTAGTGTGGCTTTAGTGTAACTGAAGGAGGGGCATGGGGGGGAAGGACTTAAGGCACATTTACGACTCACCGGGCTTGGTTTAGCACTTCTCCAAAGGCTGAGTTATTTTTTGATAAGAAGGCCAGCAGGAATGAATGGGGGATCCTTGGCATGCGGAAGAATGGGTTCCTGGTAGCCCCCCTAAACCGTCTTCCTTTTCCTACCTTCCTTTCTTCTCTCGGCAGAAAAGTCCAACCTCCTGATCGTGCGCGGGGGAAGCCGCCACCAGCTCGCCATCTCGCCCTCGGTCCCGCGGCGCGCCGCCATCCAGATGACATTCCACAAAATCCAGGTGGAAAATCTGGTGCAGGTAAGGCTGTCAGGAGGGGAAGGGTGGAAATGGAGGAAGAGACACAGAGAAAGAGATGGGTGGTGTTTTTTTTCCCCTTTTTCGCCCCTCAAATTCACCTGGGAAAAGTTACTTTTTTAGGGGGACAGGGACCCCCAACCAACATGGCCATGAACAGTAAGCCAATAAAATATCATCTCAAAGAGAATAGAATGAGGCAGAATTAAAGGAACACAGAGCTTCTGATGCTAATTCATTTTTAAATTTTATTTTATTTTGTATTATAGAAGGCTTAATTTTATTTTATTTTTGGAACATGGTTTGTGGATTCCGTGGGCCACCTGTGGCTTCTGGTCTAATGCGGTGTAAGGAGGGAAGGGCTAATGAATCCTCTTTGCAGAGGAGCAGCCGGGGCTCACATTTCCTGGTCAGTTGGCAACCTCATTTCAACCAACCCCCTCCCCTTCTCGCCCTCTGCAGTGTGAAAACTTGGGCCAAGGGACCTTCACAAGGGTCTTCCGGGGGCTTAAGCGAGATCCGAAGGGGGACGACCATGAGGAAGAGGAAGGAGGAGAGACGGACAAAGTCCACGTAACCGAAGTGGCCATGAAAATCCTGGACCCTGGACACAGCCGTTGGGTGGAGGTGACGTGGCTGGCAAAGCAGGAGGGAGGGTCCGGTTTGGTTCGTGCGAAAGCAACGCCAGACAGCGAGAAAAGTGACCCCCTAAAGTAATTCATTCCCATTTTCTAGCAACCAGAAAGGAACTGTTGTCTTGAGTCTTTGCAAGGTTTAAAACTCCCCGTATTCCTTCGCCCGGCTGCTTGTTCTTCCTCCGTGACTTAAAAAAAAAGACATACACATGTCCAAAACAGAGGCAGTCATGAAGCTAGGAAAAAATCCTCACTAAAAACACCTCTGGGAATATCTTAAATAGCCCCCCCCCCCAAGGAAGAGGCAGTCATGAAGCTAGGGAAAAATGCTCACCAAAAACGCCTCTGGGAATATCTTAAACAGCCCCCCCCCCAAGGAGACCAGCCTGTGTCCTTCATCATGGCGGGTGTGATTTGCAGCGTTACCCCCGTGTCCTTCCAGAAGCCAACTCTTCATAATTAGCTACATTCGTTGCTTCCCAGGTGGGAGTTTCCTATAGAGCAGGAAAAAGTCCCTTTCTGGACTTCAAGGGCTATGTAAGGCGCTAGTCCTCAGGGTTCTACCTTAATCAATACAGGAGCTTTAGGATGGATGGAGGACCGCCCGGTCTTTCCAGGGTTGAGCCTGAGGTGGTCTCACGACCGAGCCCCGGGATGCATCCGGCTTTCGGCTCAAATGCAGACCCTCCTAACCAATCGGGGAGACATGGACCCCAATAAAATATGAAAAGGGGGGGGAGTTGCGTGTTGATGCCGTTTTCTCCCTTTCAGCCTTTCCTGGAAGCTGCCAGTCTGGTTGGGCAGCTCTCCCATAAACACTTGGTCCTGCTTCACGGCGTCTGCGTGGGTGCCGAAAGTGAGTCTAGACCCCCCCACCTTCCCCCCTCTCCCTCCCATCCCCAAACTTAGCTTATTAATAATCTGTTTCCCCATTTCCAAAGCCTGCCTCCTTTCCCAGCCCTGGGGCCAAAAATCGGCTCGCCCAGGCTGATAAGAACCTAAGGAATTATAATAAACCAACTTGCAGATATGTGAGATTCTGACTACATTCGGAGGGTTTGAGGACAACATTTCCTATCAGCCCTGGTTGTGAGGATGATGGGGAGGGCCGGCGTTCCCCTGCCTCTCTGGCCCCTATGCCGGACTAGCTTCTAACGGAGACTACAACAGGGTCTAGAGTTCTGGCTTCAGGCTCGGGGGGTCCTGGGTTCGAATCCCTACTCAGCCTCAAAGTTCGAGTGTCCTGAACCCAGTCCTGTTGTCTCAACCAACCTCGCAGGGCTGTTGCGAGGCAAAGGTGGGAGGAGGGGGAGGGCTCGACAGACGATCTGGCCGATGCTCCTGGTGGTCTCCCTTCTCCCAGACATCATGGTGCAAGAGTACGTGAGGTACGGAGCCCTGGACACGTACCTGCGGAGGAACACGGCCACTGGCCACGTGACGGCCTCCTGGAAGTTGCAAGTCTCCAAGCAGTTGGCTTATGCCCTCAACTTTCTGGTAGGTTCCCCTCCGGTGTCAGGTACGAAGCATGCTAATGGGGTGGGGGGGGGAGAGCAAAAGGCTACATGGCACACATTCGGCCAGCAGGAGGCGCTCTGGCAGAAGGAATTGAGGGTTTAATGGCAAGCAGGCCGCAGTTCATGAGCACATCCACTAGAGGGCCCTCTAAGCAACCGGGTTTCCAATGCTTTCCAAGGAGCTCTGGCGCCACCGTCAGGTGGCTGTGGGGAAATGCAGCGAGCTAAGGAATTGAGGGTCTGTTTTTAGGGGCAAAGGCCACACTGGGTGGCGGGTTCGAATTTCCTGGCCAAGCCCGGCCGGTCTCTCTCATCTTCCTTTCTCTCAAATGTAGGAGGACAAGAGGGTCGTTCACGGAAACGTCTCGGCCAAGAAAGTCCTTCTGGCTCGGGAAGGGGATCCGGCCACCGGGCAGCCCCCTTTCATCAAGCTCAGCGACCCAGGGATCAGCCCCGCGTCCCTCACGCCGGACCGTGAGTTGAGGCCGCGAGGGCGCTCTCGCTTCCAACACACACCCTGTTGGGATCGAAATAGATAAAATTCGGTGCGCCGAAGCAAGCACTAAATTCGTTGAGTGCGAAAAGAGCCCCGGACGAACGGGAAGACGAACTTCCCGTTATTTTGCAAACGGAGGGCAGTTCGCAATGCAAACGGCCCGTGGGTCGCTTGTTTCCCGACTCAGAAGAGGGCATTACCACCCACCACCCAAAGAGGGGCTCCAAGACCCCCCCGAGGACCCCCTGGGCTTTCCCCCCCGTCCTTCTGCTCCCCCACCTGCTCTGTGAAAAAGCCGAACTCTTTTGATTCAGCCGCTTGGTCGTCCTTTTCTCTCTCCACCTCAGTGTTAACCGACCGCGTTCCCTGGGTCGCCCCCGAATGTCTGGAGGAACCCAAGAACCTGTCAGCCGAGTCGGACCGGTGGGCCTTCGGGGCCACCCTGTGGGAGATCTTTAATGGGGGCCACGTGCCCCTCAGCGCCATGGAGCCCGAAGCGGTAAGCCCTGGGGGCACAGCGGGATTCGCCCCCTCCAGGGTTTAAAGATTTAGCAACCAGGGGGAGGAAGGGAGAGCCTCAGATCCAGCGGGCAGACACATGCTCCGGCACCTGTGAGGCTTAAAATTCGACAGCTTTTAGAGAAAATATTGATGATTTCCCCCAAAACATTAAAAGCATTAAAGACATAACACAGGGACATTCTCCCCCCCCCCTCAGGACACTTTGCTTTTTGGACTCCATGCCCCAGCATCCCCAGCCAGCACAGGGGAGCTTGGGAGCTGTAGTCCAAAACAAGGCCAACCTTTCCGAGTTCCATCCACCACATAGGGTGGGAGATCAACATGGAGAAATGCTTCCTTCCCCCCCCCTTCCCTGCAGAAATGCCAGTTCTACCAAGAGGGCGGGCGGCTGCCGGCTCTGCCGTGGCCTGAACTGGCCCAACTGGTGGCCCAGTGCATGGATTACGACCCCCGGCGGCGCCCCACATTCCGGGCCGTCCTTCGGGACCTGAACGGCTTCATCAGCTCAGGTAATCCGCCCTGCAAAGATGGCCCGAGGTGGGACGAACGCACCCGAGCCATTGATCGCGGGTGGTGAATTCGAACCCGGGTCTCCCGAGGGTGAACTCCAACCATGTCACCACAGTGACCCTCTTTGGGTGCCAACGCGGCCCATTGCTGAGAATCCCCTTTGTCGTCCTTTCTGTCTCTGAACCTAAAGTCCGATTTGCCTGCTGGCCAGAGACTGCTAGCCGTATTCTGAATTTTCCTGCTTTTTCCTGCCGTTCACAGTTCTTTCCCTCTTGCTTTTCACACACACACATTTTATTCTCAGATTACGAGCTCCTCTCTGATCTCCCAGTCCCCGACAACTTTGGCGGATACACAAACGTCGCCACGTACCAGGATCCGACCGTCTTTGAGGACCGCCACCTCAAATATATGTCCGTGCTGGGCAAGGTGAGCAAACAGAAAACCAAAGAAGTTCAGCAGGGTTGGGAGAGGTACCCCAGCACACAGGGACGAAACCCATGAGGACAAGGAACTTGACTGTCCGCATTTTTTGGTGGATGCCAGCATGGCACGACACCCAGGAAAGCGAACCCCAGTGGAAAATCTCGGATCCCCTCCCATTCATTCTTTACACTGAGCCAGCTCGCCCGGCCGCAGGTCGGGACTGCAGCTTTTTGTGGACTACAAATCCCATCATTCTTCACTTTTTTTCTTTCCCCCCTTCTGCCCTCCCCCACTCACAGCGAAAGGAAAGCCCCCTTAAATCATGGATGCCCAGAGAGAGATCATTGAGGATCTCCCCCCCATTGCCCCCCACAAACACCCCACAAATCAACCTGGTGCCTCGGTTGTCCGCAGGGGAATTTCGGCAGCGTGGAGCTGTGCCGCTATGACCCATTGGGAGACGGCACCGGCGACCTGGTGGCGGTGAAGCGGCTGCAGCAGAGTTCGGCCGAGCAGCGGGAGGCCTTCCAGAAGGAGATCGCCATCCTACGCTCCTTACACCACGATTTCATTGTGGCCTACCGGGGAGTCTGCTACAGCCGGGGTGAGGCTGGACACGCAGCACGGTGGCCAGTGGGTCCGGGCGGGGGAGAGAGAGAGACCCCTCTTTTGGATGGACAGCTGCCGGTAAAGCTCGCCCCGAGAGCCCCCTCGAGCCAGCCACAAAGCCACCTGTTGGACAAGCCATCTCGCTTCCAGGTGTTCCCAAAGACGTCCAATGGGCTCCGACAGACCTGGAGGCAATTTTTATCACACTGAATTTTTAAATCCAAAATTTTGGTTGAATTCTAAAATTCAAAATTTTGATTGAATTTTAAAATTCCAAATTTTAATTGAATTTTCAAATGCAGAATTTTTATTGATCTTTTGAAAATTCAAAATTTTGATTGAATGTTTCAATGCAGTTTTAATTGAATGTTTCAATTCAGTTTTACAGTAATGGAATGTTTCAATTGAGGAAACTTCATTTCAGTTTCAAGGGAATTTTTAAATGCAGTTTCAGTGGAATGCTGCCATTCGACGACAATAATTTAAAAATAAATTCAAAATAAAAATTTAAAAAGGGGAAATCATTTCGAGCCATCCGCAAAGCCACCTGTTCGACAAGCCATCTCGCTTCCAGATGTTCCCAAAGACGTCCAATGGGCTCCGATAGACCTGGAGGCAATTTTTTATCACACTGAATTTTTAAATCCAAAATTTTAATTGCATTTTTAAATTCAAAATTTTGGTTGAATTTTAAAATTCCAAATTTTAATTGAATTTTCAAATGCAGAATTTTAATTGATCTTTTTAAAATTCAAAATTTTGATTGAACGTTTCAATGCAGTTTTAATTGAATGTTTCAATTCAGTTTTACAGTAATGGAATGTTTCAATTGAGGAAACTTCATTTCAGTTTCAAGGGAATTTTTAAATGCAGTTTCAGTGGAATGCTGCCATTCGACGACAATAATTTAAAAATAAATTCAAAATAAAAATTAAAAAAGGGGAAATCATTCTGGGCATTTCTTGGCAAAGGATGGAACCGTTTCTCTCTCTCTCTCCTCCCAGGGCGGAACTGCCTCTGTCTGGTCATGGAGTACCTGCCCCACGGATGCCTGCGGGGTTACCTGCAGAAGAGCCACGCCCGGCTGGACCACAGGAAGCTGCTGCTTTACGCCTGGCAAGTGTGCCAGGTGAGCAAAAGGAGAGAGGAAGCATGCGCCCACGCAGCCGCGCACAGGGGCATCTGGTTCCTTTGGGGAGCAAAAGGGGGAAAGGAGAGATTCGAACCCGGGTCCGGCAAATCCCGCCTGGGACAGTCAAGAGAGTCACCTTCCAGGTGCCACAAGGCCTCTCACCACGGCCACCCTTTCTTCTTCTTCCCCCACAGGGCATGGATTACCTGGGCTCTCGGCGCTACATCCACCGGGACCTGGCGGCCAGAAATGTCTTGGTGGAGAGTGAATACCGAGTCAAGATCGGGGACTTCGGCCTGGCCAAAATCCTGCCCCAGGGGAAAGATTACTACGTGGTGCGGGAACCGGGCCAGAGCCCCATCTTCTGGTAGGGAGGAGGAGGAGGAGAAAGGCTACCTCCGGAGTAGGGCATGGGAGGGGGGGGACAGTGTGTGTTTGTGTGTGTGCGGGGTTCAAGAAGGGGTCCGACCCCTCCAAAATCATCTCGTCACCTCTACGGCTGAACAGGGATTTGAACCCAGGGCTCCCTCCAACTGGAATGAAGCCAGCCAAGAGTCAAATAAAATAAGCAAGTCAGCCAACTCCGGACCCCCGCTGGTGTTTTTTCTCTCTCTTTCTCTCTGACGGGGTGGCTTCCTTCCTCCCTGGGCAGGTACGCGCCAGAGTCTCTGGCCAACAGCGTCTTCTCCCAAGAGTCGGACGTCTGGAGTTTTGGCGTCGTCCTCTACGAACTTTTCACCTACGGCAGCAAGACCTGGAGCCCTTCGGAGGTGAGAGAAAGCAACGCCGGGGACTCTGGCTGGGTGTTTCGGCCCATCATTCTATGTCCCTTTATTCACATTTATCTGCCCAGTCTCAAAGCTGGCCTTTCTCTTCCTCGGGGGGGGGCACCCTGGCAAATCGAATCCCGTTAAATGCAAGATACGGAGTTGGCGGAAAGCACTCCTCGACAACAACTTGGTGTAAGTGTGTCATTTTTGGGGAGGTCTAACACCCGATAAAGCTGTTTTATCCTCTGCTCATTTCTAACATCAGCACCTGCAAACACAAAGCTAAGCAAGTCCACCAGAGTGACATTTTCTGCCCTCTCTGTTGGTCTCCCACTCCCCCCCTCTTTTAGGAGTTTCTCCGCATGATGGGGCACGAGAAACCCCCCTCCATGGCCAGCCTCCTTCTTGAACTGCTAAAGCAAAACCGGCGCCTTCCAACCCCCCCGGGCTGCCCCATAGAGGTAAACCGGCCTTCCACGTGCTCTGAGGGCAAACTTTTAGATACGGCCAGGCACACATCGCAGGCTCACAGGGGTACAGTCATGAGGACTAGGCACTTGATGTCAAACTTTGAACAGATTGAGCGGGATGCCAGCATGGCACGACACCCGAGAACGGAAAAAGATAAGAGTTTGTCGCCAGGGCTAAACAGAGGGATGCGAAATCCAAGAAAATGGGAGGGAAGGTTTGGGGGAAGACCACCTTTTGGTGGTGGGGGACCCCAGAGAGGTTGGGCTAGATCCCCAAAACTTTGACGAAAAGCCTTGATTCGCCTACCAACTCTACCTCTTTCTCTTTCTCTCTCTCTGCTCCGGGCTTTGCCCAGGTTTTTACTCTGATGGAATCCTGCTGGTCCTTCGCGCCAAGCCAGCGGCCCCAATTCTGCAAGCTGGCCTCCCAGATCGAAGCCCTGAGGAAGAAGTGCTGCAAAACTCAGGACTAGCAGGCGGTGGGTGTCTTAGCACACCTGGGGGTGGCCCGGCGCCCAGGCTTGCTCTGAACTCTGCGCGGGTGCCTTCCTGCGGAGAGTGGCCGCTAAAGCCCCAGGGCTCTCTGCTCAGATTCTAAGCCCACCTGCAACAAACTAAGCAGAGAAGACGCTGACAGATTGTTAAGAAAAAATAAACGTATCATTTATTTGCTTTTTCTCCATTTCACATTTCGTCTTTTTCATGTTTGCCGAAGTTCGTTCGTTCGCCGAAACGTTTTTGGTCACAATTGTCCCGAGAGCCGAGTCGTGTGTCTGTGGGAAGCCGGTGACCGCTGGGTTGCCCGCTTTGTTAAAGGGAAGTAGGGTCTGAACCTCAATCTCAGTGGCAACACAGAAAAACCACCTCGCAAATATGGCAACTGGCGGAAACCTAACGGACCTACAGACATTCTTGAGGGCCCAAACCGGCCCTGCCATGAGGGGGCCAGAAAGGGGCTGCCCTCTGGGGGCAGATGCTGGGGGGCAGCAGAAAATGTGGGGGGGAGGAGAGAGCCTCACCCCTCGGAGCGGGCGTGATTCTCGTGGGAAGCCGGCAGAAACAGAGGTAGCACTCGAGCTGTGCAGAAGACAGCCGTAAGGATTCACATTTATTGTTGTTACTCGGATGCATCCCCACATCTCTGTTTCTCCTGCTGTTCCAAGACCCTTCACTGATGGCCTTTTGGAAGGATGCCATGATGGCAATTTCCAGGATTTTTCCTAACACCCCCCCTAAAAAAAAAGACAATAAAAAGCAAGGAGTGGGTAGAGGCACATGTGGGAACCCCCCTACTCCACGTCCCAGCAGCCTCCGTCTCTGAGCAGAGAAGATGCATTGAATTCAAACTCCTTGGGAGCCACAGAGATCCAAGTCAGTGCTAAGGAATTTGTGCAGTCAGAGGGAAGAGTTGCAGTCCGTAACAGGTATCCACATACACAAAATAATAAAAAATAAACCCACACCCAAATAAGCAGCATCTCAGTGCAGAGGCTCTAAACAAGGCGGAGGTGTCCAAAAATAGCCAGATGGCTCATAAAATTCAGTGGAAGATGTCTGTGAGCATGAGCTCGGCTACCGACGATTTTGACGGAGCAGCCTGGCTGGGCTGCCCTTTTCTCCCATGAGAGGAGGTCAAAAGGGCTACCTGCACCAAACACCCCTGCAGGGCCGGACAGAAGGCAGCTTTGAAGAGTGTGCCCGTGGTCAACGGGAGCCCTCGGAGAGATACAATTAGCCTTCAGCCCCAGCGATTCCTGACATGTTGGTGTGGTTTTTTTTCCCCCTCAACAAAGTTTCACTCTTGAGAAAACCACAGAGGGCCACAGAAGAACACCAAGGGGCTTTAAAAGGGGGAGAACCGCCCTCCCACCAGCGAGCCAGCCTGGAAAGGTTTGGTTGAGAATTTTTTAAAAATACCCTCCGAAATATTATCCCAGCTGGCAAGACCTGCAAAATCCTGCAGCTTTCTTTGAACGCCTTGACGGAATGAGACCTTGCAGGCTTCTCCCTTTTCATGGAGGCACCAGGGAGAGGAACCTGAGCAAGGGGGCCACCAACCGAGGCCGTCGGTGAAGACAGGGCCATCCATCCTTCTCGGATCCTCTCCGAGGTGGCTCAGGGACTTTGGTACACCTCCAGCTTCTTCCCACAGACCAGGCCTTGCTGGTGGACCGCTCTCCACATCAGTAGCATCTCGTAGGGCACGAAGCGATGGACCAGGAGCAGCTCCTTATAATAGCAGGGGTCAAAAGAGTCTAGGGTGGAGGAGGGCACCCGCACCCCCACCATCCGGATGCCCCCATGGGCGGCCGGAGCGAGGCCGGCCTTCTGCAGGCACATGCCCAGGTAGACGTCATCAATGGGGAAGAGTTCGAGATCCAGAGAGGCCTGGTAGATGGCCCGGGAGGTGAAGCCGGACATGAGGAGGCCCCCGCCGCCGCAGTAGGGCGGGTAGGACTTGGAGGCGGTCACCAGCTCTGGCACGTAATACTTGCTCCACTTCTCCCGGATGGGCCCCACGTGGGAGATGAGGTGGCCCACAAAGAGGTGGCGGTCGCCGGCCCCGGGGACGCCCAGCAGGTAGTGGACCATGTTGTCAGTGTGGGCGAACACGTCGTCATCCCCGTTGAGGACGAAGCGGACACCGGGGCAGCGGGCGTCGAGCCAGGCGTGGAAGAGGCTCTGCTTGAGGGTCAAGTTGAAGAAGCTGTCCTGGAAGCCCCACTGAAGGATGTCGCGGTGCTCGGCCGCCTCCATCGCCAAGAGGCCGTTGAGCTTCCGGGCCTCGCGGGCATTGGCTGCCACCCCAGAGAGGAAGACCCTCCGGATGTGGACGCCGGCCACGGTCCTCTCCTGGCCCCAGGTCTTCCGGATCACCTCCCGGCGCTCGTAGTTGCCCGGGGAGGACTTGATGGCCAGGAGCAGGAAGACCAGGTGGGAGCTCTGAGGATCCCCACACTTCTCCGGCACATCCAAGAGCAGAGGGAAATCCCGGCAATGCTTGTAGCGCAGGAAGTCCTGGATGTGGCCCGGCAGCTCGGCAAAGCCAGTGAGGTTGGCCACGGTGCTGTTCTCTCGGCACTCGGCAGTGGTGGGCCGGGGGGCTTCCATCGTGAGAGGCGAGGCTGAAGCGAAGGGTTCCTTCGCCTCTCGCGAGCCGCGGCTGCTCGGCGCATCGTCGCGATGGAGAAGGAAGACCAGGCCGATCAACCCAGCCAGACTCAGGACGGCAGCTTCCACTCTGTAGCACCAGCCTCGGGCCATTTCCCCCTGAAAGAAAACAGGAGAGCTCAGTGGATGGGAGGGCCTTGAGGGACAGCACACCGTTAGCTGGCGGAACTCACGGCCACTAGAGCGCCACCACGGGTCGGCGAAGTCAGTCTCCACTGGCATTTATAGTGACTCCCAAGGAGCCACTAGGTGAGTGGAAAACCAAACCCATCCTGTTCTGTCGGAGCCCAGATGCCATGATGCCTCAAGATCTTTTATCCATCCCGCCCCAGTGATGTGTCCTTTGTCTGCTTCCCAGGTCAGCCAAGGGCAGCCTCTCCAGATCGTGCTGGACTAAAACACCCATTAGCCTCAGCCAAACAGGAGGGGGGAAAAGACCAGCAGTGCAGCAACACCCAAAGGAAGAGATCTTCCCCGCCTTGCTTTAAAACGTCCAGGGTTCCGACCGGGACGGCCTGCTTGTTTCCGTTCCTCCTCCTGGATGGCTAAAACGGCTGCCTTGTTACACGTGGGGTTGTTTTGTGCAAATTTTAAGGACCCCCAAACGTGTGTGTGCACGAGAGCATGTGCACGAAGTGTTCCTTGTCTCATTCTCAGACTGGAGACCAGAAATCTCATGGCGTTCTCTGTGGTTTTCCTACAGGCTGTCTCCCGTTTGGGAGCGGGGGGTCGGTTTCTGTGTCCGCATCCCCAATTTTATTCCCCGGAAGAACCAGAACAGCCAGAGAGGCCGAGGAGGAAAGCAGGCTGGGCTCAGCGCTCCCACACTGGGCTGCCCTCCAAGAGAAACACACCTCCAGTAAGCGTTTCCTCTTTCTCTCACGCGTGCGAACAAAGGGAAAGAAAGCGTGGAAGGAGGAAGAGGCTGCTGCGGTCAACGTTTCTCTTGCTATCATTTAAAATAGATAATGTCAAAGAGCATGCTTTAAGCACTGTATGAGCTGTGCTTTATTCCTAGGCAGGGAAGCAAATCTGTTGAAAGAAACAGAGAAAGGAGCAAATTCTTTGCAGCTTTGTACCCGTCCCTACCCAGCGCAACGGGTTTTATTCACCATGGGTGGCCAAAGAGTTGCGGGAAAGATTTTTAAAAAGCGGTTGTGCGCCGCGCGATGACAAGCGAGGATCCCCTGGTTTTTTTGAGTTGGAGGAGTCTCTTTAAAAAAAACGTGATTATAGACCAGACTAGGATTTAAGGCCCACCTTGTTTCCAACTTTGCTTTTAACGGGAACATTGAGAATTAAGGGGAGGCGCGCAAGCCACCGAGCAGTGCAGAGGTTCAGAAGCCGACCCCAAGAGAGGGAGGGAGCAGCAGAAGCGGAGGCAGCCCCCGGGGCTAGACAGGATTCTTCTCCACGCCCAAGGAAAGCAACTGCTGGCCAGCCCTGCGTCCCAGAGCAGCCGCACAGGAAGGCCAGGCGTCTTTTAAAAAACTTGTTTTGAGTCCAATGACCGGCGCGCTCTGGCATCTCCAAGGCCAGGAAAAAAAAGAACAAGGTGACACCCAATTCCTCTATGAAGGTGTCATTCAAGGTGACACCGAGCGATCCGGTCTGACGAGGAAGATAAAAGCCGCCCAAGGGCCCACAAGGGCTCCACCCCGTTAGGTGGAGCAGAAGGTAAACGGAGGGATCATGGAGGCGCACGGAAGAGGGTTTCGCCCCAGCCCTCCGGGCAGACAGGCAAGCATGACCCTTGACGACACATAACTGACTGGTGTTCAGCTGTGGATGATGGGCACCTCTGTTCACCTCCTGTGCCCCATGGGAACCAGGCCCAGAGGTCCCATAGGCTGGGAAAACACTCTGAAGAGAAAACCGCATTGTATCTCTGTGGCCTCTCACCAACATGAGAAGCACCCCCCCCTTCCAATTTTCTCAGAGATGTGCAGGGTCTGTTCCTGCCCTCAGATGCTTTCCAGTTTCAAGGAATCCCTTCTCCCAATGACGGGTTGTCTGTAATGTATGCTTTAGCCCTAAATGCCACAAATTACATTATCCCGATGCTAAAAACTTGTTACTCTGCCTTCCTGATAATTATTGTTTTTTTAACCAAAAGTGATTTATCTCATTGTTTCTTTTCCAGCAAAGTCTTTCAAATGTCATAAGAAATTACCTTCATCACCACGGAAACAGGAGCTTACAGAGCTGAGAAACATCTCCTTTTTAAAGGCTTATTAAGATTTATGGGCACCATCCGCAGAACTACCTGTTGTAATTGGGAGGGGGGAAATGATCCTGGGGCTCCCCTTCTTGCTCTACAGTTCTAGGCTTTAAATCACAACATTATTTAACATGTACTCTGCTTCCCCCCCCCCCGGCCCCATTTGTGTTGTAGAAAGTCACAGTGGGATGATCCTCTTACTTTGCTGGGACCCAAAATTGAAGGGTTGCAATTGAAACTTTGCATGCTTGCATAACTCCAGAAACCTGCCTTTTGAGTTAGGTGCCTGCACCAGGAAAAAAAAAAAATAACCGGCACAGAAACGGGTATCCGATGCCGAGCTAGGTTTCAGTTCAGCCTGGGGCGGGTGGAAACTTACTGACAACACAGAGATGTCCCCCCACCCCCCCGTGGACTTGCAGCAAGATAAACTGCATTTATTTCTTGTCCAGATTATTTAGCAGTCCCATCAAGGCCCACAAAAGTTCTCAAAGAGGGCAAGGAAATCCAAAATCGCACATTGTGTTTTCCTTTTGGGTTCGGTTTTAAAAACTGTCAATAAATTATTTACCAGTTCATTTAATCGTTTTATACATTGGAAGATCAATAAGAGATGATGCTCCTCCCAATTCTCCCAATACAAAGGAGCTTCTTCCAGAACCTGGCGCTAGATTCGGGGCAAGAACTTCTATTGATTGATTATTTCTTAAGAAACTAATTAAATAAGAATGTAAGCTCAAGTTTTACTCTGTAAAGGTTGCCTTACTGGGAAAACCTGGGTCCCCCCCTCCAAAAAAAAAACACACCCCTAGACATATCCTGCCCATGTTCGATTACCTGGAAAGAAACATCAGGTGCGAGATACGTGCACACTGAGACCGGACGCCCACCGGGGTCTAGATCTGGGAAACCACGTTATTCTTGCAGGGTGGCCTGGCGTGCTCTGGTCCATGGGATCACGAAGAGTCGGACACGACTAAACGACTAAACGACGGTCTTTCTTATAAGGTCTCAAAAGCAGGTCTCCATGGCTCGCCCCTGTCAGAGGGAGCGCACACCAGGGAGCACTTGCCCACAAGCCGAAACAAAAGTCCAAAGCTTCGTGCTTCTGCTCGATTCACATCCGACACAGGAAGGGAGGCAGGAAGGCTGCACCGATGTACAGCTGCTTAAAAAAAAACCCCAACAACCAGCAGCTTACAAAGATAAACACACACAGCGGCACAGAGTGCACAAAAAGGAGCCGGAGAGCTCTCGCTAGGAGAGGTCACTTCCTCTAGCCATGAAACTCAGCTCTGTGGGCTTTGGAAAAGAACGGAGACACACCACTGGGATTTGGGGGGGGGGGACCCACAGAAGGGTTTCTCCTTGGCAGGGGGAAAGGAAGCCGTGGAATCAAATGGACAAGGATGTGGCTTTTTCCCCGGCTGGAAAAAAATAATAATAAAGAGAAAACGCCGAGGTGGGGGGAGAGCCTGAGGACGAGACCTGCCCAACACATTCTGGAAGCTCAAGGGATGTGGGTTAAGGGAAGGGGGCCACCCCCACTCCCCGGGAGGTCCCGGCAGGGAGAGCTGGTCCCCAGGTCACCGACACCCGTGCTCTGCTGGGATCTCCGGGAAGGAAAGGAAGCTGGATGGAGGTCTCTGGTTGGCGGAGCCCGAGGTGATGAGTTCGAATCCCCCCTCCCCCACCATGGGGCCTCCGGCAAAGCAGAGCCAGCCTGGGTAGCCCTTGAGCAAGCCGCTCCGTCCCGGAAGAAGGAAAAGGGGAGAATAAGCCCTGCCGGTGGAGAGCAAAGGTAATCCTTTTATAGACAATTTTTTAAAAAATCATAAATTACGCACACTTTTATAGGTTGGTGCCACTTCGTCACCAAGTGGGAAGAACGAAAGTCCACGGCAAGCTAGATTTTTTCCCCCTCCAGGAAAATTACTCCACAACTTCTCTGCAAATGGTGTAAGTCTCCAGCTGCAAAGCCAGAGGTTTTTTTTATTTTTTATTTGTTACGTTTATAGCCCCCCCCCCCCCAATCTAGTCGTACCGACTTCTCTGGGCAGGTAACAACAGATCAAATCTAATACAATTTAAAATCATAACATTTCACTAAAAAAAAAAAGAAACCACAATAATCAGATGGGGAAAAGGCACAGAGAACAAAATCAGGGGGGGGATGGAAGAAAGGCTTGCTTAAACAGCCAGGTTTTCAGTTGGCGTTTGAAGATGCCCAGGGAAGGGGCCATACGGATCTCAGGAGAGAAGCTATTCCAAAGACGAGGAGCCACCGCCGAGAAGGCCCGGTTTCTCGTTTTCTCCTTCCGGGCCTCCCTCGGCGTTAGGCTCCTCAGTCTCACCTCCTGGCTAGATCGAGTGATATGGGTAGACTTAGGTGGGAGAAGGCGTTCCGTCAGGTAACGAGGCTCTAAACCGTTTAGGGCTTTATATGTAAGCGTTAAAACTTTGAAATCTACGCGGAACCGAATGGGCAGCCAGTGCAAGGCGGCCAGAGTGGGAGCAATATGTTGATCTTTTCTTACCCCAGTAAGAAGTCTGGCCGCCGCATTCTGCACCATCTAGAGTTTCCGCATAGTTCTCAAAGGCAGCCCCACGTAGAGAGCATTACAGTGGTCTAATCTCGAGATTACGAGCGCATGGACCAAGGTGGTGAGCGACCCAACATCTAGATGGGGCGCAGCTGCGCTCTCCACCAGAGATGGAAATGCGCGGTGCGGACCATGGACGCTACCTGGGATTCCAAGGCAAGCGCCTGGTCCAGATGGACCCCCAATCTACGCACCTCACTCTTCGCAGTGAGAGTCACCCCCCCAAAAAGAGAGGGAATTTCCCAAACCGCTGATGCTAGGCCCGCCTACCCTCAGGACCTCCGTCTTGTCCGGGTTCAGCCTCAGCCCATTTTCCTGCATCCATTGCAGTATGGTCCCCAGGCAGCGCTGGAGGGACAGGACGGCATCCGTTGTAGTTGGCAACAGGGAGATGTAGAGCTGCGTGTCATCAGCATATTGATGGCACGACGCTCCACACCCCCTGATGACCTGACCCAGCAGCCTTATATAGATGTTAAACAGCATTGGAGAGATAGTTGACCCCTGCCAAACCCCACAATTGAGGCTCCACGGGGCCGACTCATGCTCCCCAAGCTGAACTCTCTGAGGACAGTCCCCCAGGAAGGATCGGAGCCAAGCCAATGCCTGACCACCGATTTCCAGCTCGGAGACCCTCCTCAGGAGGATACTATGGTCGACGGTATCAAAGGCGGCTGAGATATTGAGGACGACCAGCAGAAAGGTTTTTCCCCCGTCGGCCTCCCTCAAGAGGTCATCTGCAGAAAGGTTTTTCCCCTGTCGGCCTCCCTCAAGAGGTCATCTAACAGGGCGACCAATGCCGTTTCCATACCATGGTGCATCCTGATGCCCGAATGAAATGGATCCAGGGCATTTGCTTCCTCCAAGTGCGCCTGGAGCTGATCGGCCACCACCCTCTTGACCACTTTACTGATGAATGAAACATTGGCGACGGGCCTATAATTGCCAATATCGTTCGCTGCCAAGTTAAGTTTCTTTCGACTGGGCCCAATGAGTGTCTCCTTGAGGGCAGGGGGAAGCCTGCCCTCCTGAATAGACCCCTTAATTATCGCTACAGCCCATTCAGTTGTTGTGGGCCTGGCTGCTTTGATTAGCCAGGCTGGGCAAGGGTCAAGGGAGGAGGTCAGCCCATTTAGTTGTTGTGGGCCTGGCTGCTTTGATTAGCCAGGCTGGGCAAGGGTCAAGGGAGGAGGTGGTGGCCCGAAAGGGAGCTAGCGCCTTGTCCATAATGTCAGGCGTCACAGGCTGAAAATGGTCAAGACTCACCGGGCAAGGCAAGATCTCTGCTCGATCCACTGTAGCTAAATAAGGAGAAAGCTCCCGGCGGATGGCCTCGCACTTTAGATTTTAAAAATGCTGCAAATTGGTCAGGGGAGATACTAGGGGGAGGCCCTTCGCCCCGACCAATTCAGATAGGTCGCGGACTATAGCCATGTAGTTTGAATCCCCCCCCTGGGGCTACCTGGGAGAAGAGCCAGCCCGGGCAGACTTTGGGCAAGTTGGGCTCCTTCCCAGGCCGGCCCAGAAAAAAGGAACGGGGAGACCCCCCTCTGTGCTTTCTCTACCTGGAAAACCCCAAAAACGGTCGGCATAAGTCAAGAATCAACTTGATGGCACACAATTAAGGGGCTTTTTATTTAAATCAAAGTGAGATAATCAAGGAGTGTCAGCACCCCTCTGGAAGAATTTCCAAGTAGGGATTTGAACCCATGTCTCCATGGTCGGAGCCCATCTCTTACACTACAATGCACACTGACTACAGACCAGATGTTGTGGGTCCCTCCACATACGCTGGCTTCTGCAAACACAGAACAACCAGGCAGACTCGCGAATCCTTGAGGAACGTGCTGTTCTGTGCCGTCTGGCGGCTTCCGGTTGAACGGCACCCTCTGAAGGAGAGATTTCCAGAACGTCTCGTCCTCAAGAAGCCCTGCCCAGGTCTTGTAGACTCAAGGCTGTGGTTTCCTTGACAGAGTCAATCCATCTCACATACGGCCTTCCTCTTCTCCTACTGCCTTCCACCTTTCCCAGCATTATCGTCTTCCCCAGAGAATCCTGCCTTCTCAGGACATGTCCAAAGTTGGACAGGCTTCATAGTATCCTCTTTGCTTCTAGGCAAAGCTCGGTTTGATCTGTTCTAGGACCCACTTGAGGCCCTTGAACGATCACGAAAACCACACTCCTAGACACACCAAGCAGGCCGGGAACCCCACTCTAGGCGACAGGCCTTACACCTGAGGAGACACACAGAGGATGGTGGGCCAGCTCCTAACCATGTCCCACTAATCTGAATGGGCTTACTCTAAATGGATCAATCTCTGCCTCAAAGCTTCCAGGGTCACATTGAGAAATTGGTTGGTCGACTGAGAGAAACACACACATCTCCAAAATAAAACAGTTTTCAGGTGCTACAAAGCCTAACTGTTGTTTTTGCCACTGCGAACTGCCAGCCCCATCTCTTGGTTCCTCTCTCCGTGGTCCCCAGGCAATTCCTCCCCGTGGAAAACATAAGATTTAGTTGCTAAGAACATGTTTTCCCCATGTAAACACGTCCACCGCCCTAAGCCACTGCTTCGTGCATCGGACAACGTAGGCCCAGCCCATAAGAGACAGACAGCTCCAGCCTCAAAGGGGGTCCTCAATCCAGTGTTAAATAAAAATATAACATACATCTATGTCTTTCTCAGCATACCGTAGTAACAGGAACCGGAGACGGAATTAAATTAGAAGCTTGCTAGTAAAAGAAAGCAGGACCCTTCAAAGGCAATTTTAAAAGAACTTTAAATAAAAACGATTCCATCGTGGATCTTGGTCCGGATTCTGTAAAGTGGTGGGCTTTCATCAAAGGTTTGAAGTTTCCTCCATCGTTTTTTTAAATCTGGCATTCTGCTGGCAAATGGTTCAAGCCAGGCAGAAAGCAGCTTAAGGCAAAACCACACGCATATCCAGAATGATTTACTGGAGATAAAAAGCAACCATCAACCGCTCCAGAGTTTGAAAGAGCTCTCTGGAGAGGGCCACAACCACCACCCAGTCATAAAAAAAGACACACCCTGATCAAACAGGTAATACAGTACACCAAGATTGAGGATAGTGGTAGAAACAGGGTGAAAGATCCCACCGCAACGAAATTGGCACCGAAAGGAAAGGTTTGCCCGGAGAGAAAAAAACCAAGAGAAATAAAAAATTAGTTGGGTTGGTTACTTTTTTTTTTTTTAATGGGAACCCGAAATTCTGAATTTCTTTTACCTCTCCCCTGGTGAAAAGAATCTCTCTCTCTCTCTCTCTCCCAAACAGACTTTGGAAAAAGTTACTTTTTTTTTGTTCTTGGGGTGCGTGAGAAGAAGGGCGCGCGGGGGGGGGCGACAGACCCGTTTTGGAAGACCCGGAATCGTTTAAAGCGAAAAAAAATAAAAGAGGCTTAAAAGGACAAAACCCACACGCCGCTGTTCGTCCTTTTCTCACCCGTTCCCCAAAGTCATGTTTGGAAGCCGCGCGCAACAGCTTGCGCGCCGCCTGGATGGGATTTTTACGCACAGATGGGGCGCAGGCGTTCCTCCCTCCACACTTAAAAGCTGTTATGGGCGTCTTTCCTTCCTCCCCCCTCCGGCCTCCTCCTAGCATCATCCCCTTACCTGGGTGCCAGACCTGCTGTCTCCAAGCCAACCCTCGTTCTTGATCGTCTCTCTCCTTTCCTCCCTTCCTCTCGCTCTTTCGCCTTGGCGCACCTCCGCTTTCTCCCCCCTCCCCACCGGCTCCACCTCTTTGCACACCTGAGATCGCCCTCACCTGAGCAAGGCAGGGGCCGAACCAAACTGGAACGAAGAAAGGTGTGTGGGTGGGGGGGTGGACAGGGAATCAACAGAAGTGCCCACCCACCCAGGGAAGAATGAACAGACCAAACCGGGATCTTCCACTCTTTCTCTCTCTCTCCAAGAAATATCAACTTTCCAACTTACCTTATTTTGCGATGTGGGGAAGCAGTGGATGGCGGGGTGGAAGGGGAAAAAAACTAGTCTCCTTTAAGAGCCACCTGGTGTTCCACAGGGGCGGTGGTTTGGCCTGACTTTTAAAGACTTCAAGATTCTAGTCCTCACTGAGTCCTAAAACTTACAGGGGGAGCTTTTTTTGATGGAAATTGAGTTCCTAATCATGACAGAAAGGAATTGTGTGTGTTTTTTTCTCCCTTCCCAACAACCCCTTGGGTTTCATCTGATATTTTTGGTGCCTGAGGGACCATTTTTCTACTTCCCTCTCCCCCTCCCCCTTGCTTCTTAGTAATTGCTGGGTTTCGTTTCTGCTGTGGATTTTCTGTTAATTCTCTTCTTAATGGCTGTTTTTCTCTCTCTTTGATGGGAAACAGCTTCCTGTCTGCTCTTAAGCCTTCCCTATTATAATAATTTATTGTCATTGTAAGTATATACACAGTATACCCATACAACGAAATTCACAATTATGCTTTTCTCTGTTTAGGCTTGTCCAGGTTTTCACACAAACACCCTCCCCCACCACTTAAAAAAAAATAGGAGACCCCCAACTTGTGATCTAGGTTGTTCTCTGTAGGAAATTAAAAAGAAAAGGTGGCTCCCCCCCTGCCCAAGACCCATAAAAGAGCATCATTCTGAGCTGAACAAGGCCTTCCAGGCCCACTCAAGGCCAGAAATGGAAAGCCCATTTTAGGAATAAAATAGGGGCCATTTTTTAAAAGCCCCCCCCCCACATGCCGACACTGTTCTGGGCTATGATATTGCTTAAGCTCCCCGCTTATCCACAAGGTTTGTGCTTTGAAAAAACCCGCAGGCCAAAAAAAATAAAATCTAAGAGGGTTTTCTTGGGAAGATATGAAATGCCTTTCTCTTCTGACAGCAGCAACATCCCAATCTCCATCTGCCTAATATAATCCACCAGGTTAAGCAAACTTTTGCCAGACAATGAAGACATTTGTGCCGCTGGCAGAAATACCCAAGCCGGCAAAGGGAAATAATCATAGCAGCAAAGGCTATGTGGCTCCCACCTTCTTCATGGCTGGGCAGCGTAACACCCACATCCTAAATAGGTTGAGTTGGAAAAAAGCCCCCCCTCCATCCTGGGGGGGGGATTGCCTTATCCTCCTTACCACCCCTATTAAGACAATGCTGGAGCTCTCTAACCAAACTCAGACACAGGACGATTTGAATCCACTTTTGAGAGTTTGGCTTTCTTATTTGGTGAATGCCGCCTAATTCCTGAAGAAGCAGGCCGTGAACCCTCAATGGCTAGGCAAAACCTCCAGAGCCAGGAACAGTCCACCTTTTAAATGCCGGTTCACAAAGGGAAAGCAACCGGAAGACAAGGATCGCTTTCGAGTTTATTACTTGGGGACTGGATACTAGACAGAACAGGTCGGGGAGAACAGGTGGCCTTCCAGATGTTTTTTTTAAAATTACAACTCCCATCTTTGCTTGTGGCCGGTCATTTCAGCAAAGGGTCGGTGGCTCTCTAGATCAACCCGTCCCCTTATGGGGGAGAAAGGGGGCCTCTAAATAAGACCAAGAAATGGCTGAGATTTTGATATGAAAAGGTATTAACTATTGATGTTGTCTAGTTAAATGTAAAATGGCTGATTTTACCTGAGTCACTGTACGGATTGTATTCAGGTGTCAAAGATTACGACTTAATGTTGTACAAGCTGTGTACCTGATGAAACTTGGTGTAACAGAAAATAATGTATCTTCCAATGGGTCACAGAACTGTACATAAGTCATGTGTAAAATGAACGTCTTTCTCTGCTGTAAGTCAGATAACTTTTTTCCTATGCTGTGCGTTGCTTCATGTTATGCTGCCAGAGGAATGTCTATTCTCTATGTATATATGTAAATAGACTAAGTGGTTGGTTTTACTCTCTCTGCGTCATAAGTATCGGTGCTAACCCGTATCTCCTTACTCTGCTGATGTTATGAAAATACACATTATCAAAATTCTCAGCATAAATAAATATGCGAAGCCCCATTGGGGAAGGGCCCCCGGGGCGGCCCACCTCTCCAGGACAAGAGGGGGGAATTAGGTCTGAAAAACTGCCTCTCTCCCAACCCTGTGGGCAAATGAACCCCCCCCACTCTAGATAATGTTCACCCTCTGCCCACTGCGGCTCCTCTGTGGCTTCCCCACCCTCTGGGCAAACGGCTCAGAGGCTCAAACAGGACTTTCCTGCCCAGCTTGCTAGGGGAAAAAAAAACACAAGGCGTTTGCCTCAGAGGGCTTTCTCTCTTTCTCTGTTTGGCCTTTGTCTCCACTTGAGTTTTCCAGCTCCTGTCAGTGACCTCCCCGCTGAACCCCGAGAAGAGCCCTAAAAAAACAAAAACCCAACCCAAATACTTTTCTAAGGGCTTCATCCTTTCCAGGCGGAAGGAGGAAAAAGATCAGCCGAAATGGCCCTGGCTCTTCGGTCTCGCTTCCCCCCACTTACTTTTGGCCCCAGCCGACCCCAAAACCTGCTCTCCGAATTCCTTAATAGAATCTGACAGGTGGAGAGAGTTCCACCCGAAAAGAAAGAGGCTCTGAAATAAAAGCCCACCTTCTATTTAAAAAGGAGATGAGTTTGGGATTTCCACGTGGCCACAACCTGATCAACCCTAAAAGGTTGGGTTGTAATGGACTCTTGAAAATGGAAGAGCAGAACTATGAACCTTTTGAAAAGCAGAATGGTTAGCAAAACAGTAAGTAAAACACAGGCTGGACTGTTGATGCAACAGCTTTCCGGAGCTTGAGGGACTCCGGCTCCCATCAGTCCAGCCAACAGTAGGAGCTGATGGGCACTGTTTTTTTCCGGCGGCCGGAGGAGTGAAACACTTCCCACCTTCAGGGGACCCCGTCCTTTCTGAAGCCCCTTCCCCGGAAATGTGTCCACCTGGCTGAATTCGCCAGGCGGTGCATGGGATTTGTAGTGGAGCTATGAGAGTTCATCCCAGGTGAGGCAGCTTCTTGCCAGCAGCCTCTGTTGAGCTGACAAGCTTAATGAGAAAATTTAATAGAGGCCCTTATGGGGCTGGCACAGTTTTCTTAACAATAAAACTGGCACCGGGTGCAGGAAGCCGGGTGGAATGTCCTTGACGGGTGGCTTAGGCTTCAGACCATAGTTCAGAGACAGAAACTTGGCCAGAAAAGTCCAGTTTATCATTGGCTTCAGATTGTGTTGAGGACGACTCGGGCTAAGCTCAGTCGAACCTCCAGAGTCAGGAGCAGCACATCCCAGCTGCCGCATCCCATTCTTCTCCCCCCCCCCCCAAAAGCGGAGACCCTCCAAGCTCAACCCTTGTTTGGGGTTTCAACCCCGCACGGAGGAGGAGCCAGGCTGTGCCACGAAATGTGTGGCCAATAATTAACCCAGCCGCTCGTTTGGCGTTATCAGCAGGTGCTGGCCCCCGGAGACGGGTCCCTGCGGTTTTCTTTCGGCTCTGTCCCTGGGGAAACAGAGCGATCACATCCTGAGCCACTGGTATTTAATCTGCACTTATCCCCATTGTTTATAGAACCGGCTCTTTCCAAACCTGCGTCATATTTCATTCTAAAGTCAGAAATAATCAGCAGGACTCGCCTTTCCCAGGTTCGCCTGTCACTCGCACAGCAAATGCGGCTGAAGAATCGAAAAGGAACGTCAAGAAGAAACGGAGACCAGCTTGACTACAACTCCCAGCAACCCCAGCCAGCCAACTTGTTTGCGCAGAAAGAAGACCCCCGATTTCTCTGAGCTAAATTCTGGAATACTTTGGCTGCATAATCCTTTTTTTAAAAATAAACCTAAACAAATGTGTGCGGCTTTTGCCAAGGCAAAAGTCTGAGGGTTTGGGATTTTAATTAGAAAAAAAACCCAAGTGTTTTATTAAAAGAGCAACATTCTTACAGGTGGATTTCTTAGCCGCTTGGAAAAAAAACACACAATTAACACAGGGTGATCCTTCCTTGCGTCTTGTGCAGGCGATAGCAGTGCCGAAGGTACTTACCCCTCCACCCCGCAAAAACAGAGAAGGTTTGCAGACAAACTAATGACAGGAAACTGAAAATTAAAAAAAGATGAGGTCTCCTTTCCTTCCAGGGTGGTCTAGAGTCATTTTTTCCACCGATGGGCTTCCGGTGGTGGTGGTGGGGGGGGCGCCTTCAAACGACGTGCATCAGCTTCTCCGTCTTGAGGCGTCACCAGATTCTTCCAAGCACCGGTCTTCCTCCCACCCCACCCCAACTCCCGTGTTTAAAATCCAGGCAAGAATAATAACAACAACAACAATAATTAGAATAATAATTTAAGAACCCACAAATATATTCTTTCCATCTCCCGGCACACTTTTAAAAACAAAGACAAACAAGCAGCAGCCAACCGAGGGGGGGGCGGGCGGCGGGCACGGTGGTTTCAGGAACCTGCGAGGTAAATTCCTGGTGGAAAAAAAATCGAAAGAGGAAGAAAAGAGGAGAGAAAAGGAGATTGAAATTAAAAGTGGGAAAGAATGAAAAGGCAAATGACCGGGACGGAGATCAGAAGAGGAGACAGGGGGAAACAGATTCATGCGTTCAGGGTTGGGGACCCATAAGGACTAGAGACAAAGGCGGCAGTAATTTAATTTGAATTAATCTACAGGCTACCCTTCTCCTGAGAAGGGACCCATGTCGCGTGTACCTGTGGCGAATCTTTTCTTCACCAGCGACATCCGGTACCCAGGGCCCACCAGTTCCACCTCAGCCCCGGAAATGGTGGTCCCCTCGCTCGTGAACTGGGCGGCCACCGGGCTGGGCTTGCTGAGGCCATCCAAAGGTTCCCAGGTGGCCAGGAGACGGCCGGATCCTGCGGGGGGGGGAACGAGAGGAGGCAGAAAGAGAGAGAAATCATCAAGGCGGCAGGAATTACATCCACCGTCCCTCTTACTCCCCCCCAAAATTAGAGGGGTTCAGTCCACTTTCCGAAGAGGAGGGTCTGTAGTCCCTGGCCCCCCCAGGAAAATCCTGGCCCGGCCCCCCACCGTCTATCCACCCCTCTCACCTCCCTGGCTCTGGACGCCGGGAACCTCCAGTAGCTGCCAGAGAAGACGCTTCTCTTCCACGTTCCTATGAGAAACACAGAGAGAAACCTTGTCAATCGCCACAAGCCTTCCAGAGGGGTTCAGACTACAAAACCCTTCATCCCCCGCTACCCACCACTGGGTGAGGCGGATGGGAACAGGAGGCCAAACCGATCCTAAGCCCCACCCCCGAATGAAGCAACATCGGATTTCTTTGATTTATTTAAAATATTTTTACCCCTGCCTTTCTCCTCAAAAAGGAGGCACGTCATTAAAAGGCCAGCAAACAAATGCTAGAAGCCGTACGTGTACAAATAACTTTTAAAAAAGAAGGAAACAAGGATCATATTAAGATGAGTCCTTAAATTAATGCTGAAAACGCCAGCTGGTCTGAAGAGAAAAAAAATCTTGGTCTCCTTGCAGAGTTTGTGGGGTTTCAGATCGTCCTGAGTGTCCGGTAAAAACCCCCGTTGCTAATTTCTACTTTCTCTAAGTTAAAAAAAAAGCCACACACCCCCCCCGAAAAAGCCACAATGGCAGGGGGGGCGGTGTAAGAGAAGAGATAGGAATGAGAGGAAGAATTAAAAGAACACTGAAAGGATTTCCTGTTCTCATCTGTTGAAGTTGTCTGGCTGCGACGAGAGATTTCCTCGAGATTTTTCCTCTTCAGCAGTACGAGAGCGAGACACAGAGTTCTTTTCTTTCCTTTTTCCCCATCAGGGGTTCTGCAGAGTTTGCACACAAACCCTTCGGCACCCAAGAAGCCCCGAATGCCTGCCTGAAACGCCGGCCGGCCGGGATCCCCAACCCTTACCAGCAAGCCTTGGGCTGCGGCTGAACGTTGACGGCCGGTTCCTCGATCGGCAGGAGGACTTGGACGTTGGAGAGGGTGACGGCTGAGGCAAGGGCGGCCGCGTTGTAGCTGTAGTCCACGCACACCCGGGTGGCGCCCGGGGTGCACTCCCAGCTCACTGACAGCTGCAGGGGGGCCCACGCGTGGCCTTGCTTGGAGTACTGGGTTTCGGGGAAAGACGGACCCAGAACAGAGACAACAATGAGAAAAAAAAACCCAACCCTTACAAACAGGTTCAAACCCGGGGAACGGCTGCTTTATAACAGGCGGCCACCTTTCGCCCAATGGGATGTCTCTCCACCTGGCCTCCCGCATGGAGCAGAAGAAAAGTTTTTTTTCCAGGCCTGCCCCTCTGCCCCGGGCGCACCCTCACCTGATATCGGAGCAGGGGGACGTTGTAGTAAGGGGCAGCCGAGGCCTGTTCCGCCTGGCGCTGGAGGTGTGCTGTGAGGGCAGCCATGTTCAACCAGAAATCTTTGCTGCTGGGGTCACTTTGGGAAGGGTCGCTTCAGAGAAAGAAAGAGGGGAGAGGAACGATGGTGGAAATCAGCCCTGCCAAGGAACTCAAGAAAGAGGTACAGCAGGAGCCCCCACAGCCACTGGGGATTGGTTCCACGCCCCATAGATACTGAAAACCATGGATGGATAGTGTCATTGAAACAAAACCCATAAATATTATTTTCACATGCATTACCAGAACTGGCCACAAGAGGGTGCAAAAGATTGTATTCTTCACTATCAAGTATTCATAGTATAGTCTCTTGCTTCCCTCTAGAGGCTGATTCTGGTAATACATGTGAAAATAGGTTTCCTGGATATTTTTAATATTTTCAGAGCATGGAGAAGTGAAATCACAGATACTGATCCTATGGATACAGGGACTCTACTTATCTTTGAATCTAAGAACTGCAGAGGTTGAAGGGACACTCGGGGGGTCATCTAGTCTAACCCTCTTTGTGAACATCTCCTGTTCTCACCCACCGTCGCTAGCTCTGTGGGGCTGGAGCGTGGTTCACGCCGACATGGCAAGAACGACATTCCAGTCCTTTTTGTTCGTCTCAAGCCCACACCGTGCGCATGCATGCCCGGCGCCCCCGAATACCTGAAGAGGAGGTCGGTGTTGGGAAGGAACTGCTCGATGGCAGCCGTGCGGAGGAGACGGAAGCTCAGGACCGGAGGTGTCGGGCTGCTGCTGAACACCCGGAGGATCCCGGCCGGAAAGGACATGGTGAGCTCGCCCGTGACCTTGACCAGGCAGCTGGGAACCAAAAAAAGGAGCTTAAAAGGCACTTGGCGGTCTCCAGCTACTTTCTGGGAATGGCCCCTCGAGGCTGGTTTTTAGCCGTCCGAGAAATGGTCAGCGCTCTGGAAGCCAACCTGAAATCCAAAACGGGCCCTCCCCGTTTACCTGTCTGGATGGTGTCCCTTGAAGTAGGCATGGACGTATTCAGTGAAGGCCGTGGCCACAGGCAGCCCCCCTTGAGAGCCCAAGACCACCGGCGACGGCCCGCGAGAGACGCCTAGCGAAAAAGGAACAGGAGGCGTAAAGGAAAACGGCCCAGCCCCTCCGAGAAAAACCTCTCCCGCAGGGCAAAGCGCTCAAAAAGGGGGCTCGGAGAGACGATGCCCGTTTTCCAGCTTTGGAACGAGACGTTTTTGTCTCTGAAGAGGGGACTACGATGGCCCGCCTCACAGGGTACGTACCAATTCCTGGCTGCGTGGCCATGAAGAAGGTGCGTTCCGTCAAGCTGGCCGAGCTCTGTGGGGTGGAAAGCGCCCAGAGCGGGGAGGGGCTGAGCGAGCGAGGCTGGGGAGGGGGAGAAGAAGGCAGGCGTGACAACCCCGAAAAGGAGGGTCCTGAGCAATTTCCAACACCCTCCCCAAACCCAGCCCGCCCAAAAGACCTTCCTCCCAGCCGCTCACCGTCTCCCCACCGACGGTGGGGGCTGAAACGGCCAAGGGTTTCTTGGCACGGCTGCGCCGGGACGGAGCCATCATGGGGGTCAAGCCAGAGGTGGACAACGGCGGGAAGGAAGCTACGAGGGTGGGAGTGGGGGACGAGGCAAAAAGAGGGAACGTCAGGTTCGGAACACGAAGTGCGCAGAGGTGGTGGGACTGTTGGGGTCCCCCCTGCACCCCCACTCGACTCTCCTCCCTCACCAAAGAGAAGCCCCGGGGGGGGCTCACCTGGCTCCGAAGAGGAGACCTCTGGAATGGAGGGCGTCCGGTTTTCCAAGTCGCGGACCCGGGGGCCCCAGGGGGAGGGGCTGGTGGAGTCGCCGCTGCTGGGGGGTGCCGGGGAAGAGGAAGAGGAGGAAGCCGAGTTGGAGGAGAGGCAGCTGTCCCGCTCGCCGGGGACTCGCGGAGGTCCATCCGAAACGGGACTCCGGGGCCTGGCCACCCACCCACGGCGGCTGTTGGCCTCCAGGACGAAGGGGTC